CTACTTAGCATACCTTATGGCTCTTTCCCTCCTCTCCTCTCCTCTCCTCTCCTCAACTCCTTCTCCAGCTCCCCCTCCACCACTCCCTCAGCACACACGGGAAAGGTTATTTGGACAATTGGTGGTGATTAGCTCTTGATTTGGCTCGCTGTGTTCGTTTGATCAGACCGTGGCATGGAAGCGAAAGCCAGTGCGAATGAGGGGCGCAGCTGCGGCTCGGCCATGACTGAAATTGGGTGAAGAGAACCAGAAGGAGAAGGAGGGGAAAGGAGGAAGCAGATGAGAAGGAGGTAGGGCTGAAGAGGAAGAAGAGGAGGAGCAAGGAGTTGGGGGTTTAGGGACCTCTCGGGTCCTTTGCTTTCTTGGCAGTTTGAATTATGGATTCGAGCTGCTGGCAGAGAAAATGTGAACTGCTTTGTCCCTGTTATTCCAGGTGTGGGCCCTCGTAAAGGAGAAAAAAAAAAAGAAATCCATCTCGTTCTTCCTTTCAACCTTTTATCCAACAACCTGCTTCCATCCTCTCTATGCTTCTCCTGGGTGGTGGATTGCAAACAAGAAAAATGTGGGTGCTGCCTTATAGCTGGCTGGTGAATCAGGTTATAAAGTCTGCTTTGCCCTGAAGTGTTTGGGGTGCTGGCTGCAATGATCTTTGGGTTGGAAGAGGTTGGTGCTGGGCTTAGGGTTGGCCCTGTGCCTCAACCTGGATGGTTAAGCCAAGGAATTTTTCTCACAGTAACGGCTGTTCTATCCATCCATCCGTCCTTCCATCCATCCACTCATACAACTAGGCAAGTGGGAAGGCTTCTCACTCTCTGGGTGTTTAGCCAACAAATCCCCACTCCACTCCTTTGGCCTCTCCTCTACACCCATATATCAGGCTGACGGCTGCGGAGAACCCAACATCCAGCCAGCTGAATAAAACAGAGATTAAGCACCCACCCGAATCCATTTAATTACTCGTTCAACAGCTCTCGGCATGTAGCTCCAACCGCTGTGAGAACTTTGGCGTTCTTCGGTCTTTACTTTTCTCTCCCAGTGACCACAGAGAGGTTGAATAAGGTGGCTGGTCACAAAGAAATCTTGGCCTTGGTAACTAAACAATCACATAATCAGTCACTGAAACTGCATGTTTGTGTGTATGCAGCTTTAAGGGATAGTTTGGATTTTCTGAAGTGAAGGTGTATGGGGTATCATGCATAATCAGCATATCACAAACAGTAAATGTCAGTTGGCATGCGCTCAGTTTGGAGAAGCAGGCTGGAGTCCAACACTGAAACTAAGCAATGTGGATGGGGGTCAGCAAAACTTATTTTAGCCACCTAAAAAAAAAAAAAAAAAAAAAAAAAAAAAAATCAGTATCAGTTACAGTGTATGCTGTATTGAGTATTTTCACTGCCTTATCTTTTCGTCAGACAGTCCATTCCGATGAGAAAGCTGTTAAGGGCTCCAGATCTGTGCTTTCAAAGCCACCAGACTCCATTGACAAAAACAGTGATTCTAGTTTGCTGAACATGGAAGCGGCTGGTCTACCGCTACTTCAATCAGTTTGTGTTATTTTGTGACTCTGGTGAATCTGAACTAACCCTTTAAAGCACCAAAGTCATCCAATAAAACAAACAAATTAACTGCTTGAAGCAGTGGCAGACCAGCAGCTCCCATGTTCAACAGTGTTATATTACTGTTTTTCTCAATGGAGTCTGGCTTTGAAGAGAGCAATACAAGAGCATCATTCTCTCGTTGGAAATCACTATCCGACATTAAAGTAAAGCTGTAAAAATATTCTAAATATAGCATACACTTAAACTGGTATTGATTTTTTTAGGTGGCTAAAATATGTTTTGTTGCAGATCCTTCCACAGCAGCAGTAGATTGCTTAACTTCCATGTCGGACTCCAGCCTGCTCTTCAGACATCTACTGTAAGTAATATAATGTAAATGGATAAGTACCCAATACAACCCCGCTTCAAAAAGTCTGAACCATCCCTTTAAGGCTCAGTTACCTGGAAGCCAGCTAAAGCAGGCTTCAACAACAATGACATGACATCACATGCCAACAGATTTGGTGTATTTGTTTATATCTAGATATTCAGACTTCTGTTTTTCTGTATTTCAAGTAAGGACCGTGAACTCTGGGAGGTTGAGAGGCCTTGATGAGGGTTACTAAAAATGTGACAGGATCTTGGCAGAGAAATATTAGAGTTCACAAGGACAGGGTTACAACCACAGTAGACGGCATTTAGTTTTTTGGCATCTCTCAGGCGGTGTGCAACAGCCTCCAATCAGCAGCTACGATATGGCCCGCTGTCAAGAATTCGTCAGTTTGGCGGCAGCATGTTTGCTTTTGAGATAGTGTTGATCCAGGGTGGCAAGAGCTGCTTTTCACTGTGTGTGACACAACAAACGCGGGCCCTCAACCCAATCAGGGAGAGCTGATGGGGCTCAGGGCCAGGAGAGGAGGCGCTGGGTGCTGGGGGGGGGATGGGCATGTGGGAAAAAACCTGAGGGGGACCCAGGGTGCTGCAGACTGCAGAACAGTCGCATGACCTTTTCTTGAATGCTGCCACCCGCCTGCCACTGAAACACAGTCTGGCTAATTAAAGTTTCAGTGGCATTGGATTTTCACTGGCACAGCACACCTCGGGCAACCTTGGGGGCTCTCAGGCAGGCGATACACACACAGGGAAGGATGGGAGATATAAGAAGAGGGAGAGAGGAGCCGTGGAAACAGCTGAACAAGAGGACAGCCACTAGAGGACAGCACGGCAGATCCGAGCAATAACAGACTAAGTCAGTGGCTTTCCATGCCACATGGAAGAAAAGCTATATATTAGAATGCAAATCTACAGTCACAAACATGCACACTGCCAGGGTATTTTACATAAGCTGTGAGATGGTTTGCCCTTCCAAATAGTTAGGCTCAAAATATTCAAGATCATATAGAATTAGAAATGAAATTGAAACTGTCCAACTCTGTACAACTGGGTTAATGCAAGAGCTAAGCGAGAGATATGCAATGTCAAAATGCTGAGTGCTTTTCCAAATCTTATCGGGGCCGCCTCTCAGGCTAATGGAATTTTGATGGGTCAGTATCAAGAATAAATGCATGACTTATGACACAGCTACCGGGAGCATTACCAAATATACTGGACAGCATGTTCCCGTCTCCAAAGGATCACTGAATAATTGGCCACGTTTGACCAGGACATTTCTGGAAATATGGCCAAGAAAAGGTTATGCAACCAGACAGACTCGCTCATGGCCTGTATTTCACAATCTACTGGCCTTGTCTCCATTAATGATCTTGACCCCCTTTTCACCATTTTAGAAGTGAAAGGGCCTAATGGAGCCGAACAAAGCTGCTTGTGTGTGTCCGTGTGTGTGTGTGTGTGTGTGTGTGGGTGTGTGTGTGTGTGTGTGTGAGAGAGACAAAGACACTGAGAGAAAAGAAAGCCCCTGTGACTGTGTGTTACAGCTTGATGAGGTCTTGGTCTGTGATTCCTGAGGGAGGTGGTCCAATCTAAGCTTTATTAGGCCTTATTGAGCTGTGTGCAGGCAGGTGTGTGTGTGTGTGTTTTCTCTATCAAGAACATTTGGCAGAGCTTTATGAGTACCTTTCTGTGTGTGTCCCTAAAAAAGCACTCGCTTGGTAGCCGTTTAATGGGGTGTGCAAGGTATTGTACATGGATCTTTTTTTCATGCCTGCAATTTTCTTCTCAGAGGAGAACTTTTTAAGTTTGATCAGTTTGGCATTTAAGACCTTTCATATGTCATTTGTATCCACACACCAATACCTGTCTACCAAGATGATAACTTTGGAGTCAAAGTTTGTGTCTCAAATCTACTTTAAAGGAACAGTTTACCCCTGAAATCAAACATACAGATTTTTCCACTGACCTATAGTGTTATTTGTCAGTCTTGATTGTATTGCTGTGAGTTGCAGAGTGTTGGAGATATTGGCCGTAGAGATGTCCGCCTTCTCTTGAATAAACAGAACAAGCCACAAGCCGAATGCCATCTACTTCCATTATATTCAAGAGAAGGCAGACATCTCTGTGGCTGATATCTTAAGCATTCGGCAACTCACACCAAAAGAGTCAAGACTGATAACGAGCACTACAGGGAAGAGGAAAAATATGTATTTTTGATTTGGGGGCAAACTGTCCCTTTGAATATCTTACAATACGTCTCTTGAACTCTCTTTGAAATCTATGATCTTTTCTTCCAAAAGGAGAAAAAGTAGAGTAGTTTGGTCAAGTTAAGCAGGTGACTGATTACTCAACTACAGACAGAAAAGAATGAACCAGTTTGGGCTGGCGAGCTGACTTCAGCTGGTGGCCAGGTGGACCTGCTTTGATTGACATCTGACTTGGCTGTTAGCTTCATGGTTTGATGCCCATGAGCTACAGCTACTGTAAAACGCTGCAGACGCAAATTGGTTTTCCATCTTGCCTAAGTACAACATCCTCTACATAAAATGTCTCATGTGTCTCCAGTCCATCAGCTGTTTATTCAGGTAGTTACTGATATGTGATCCTGTCAGGGTAACCTCCCCATTTGACTTAGACTTTGGGCTGTGGGACAAGCACATAAAACTTTTCCCTTGATGTCTTTATACATCTTTATCATTTTAAACTTAAGATTTTGTTTCTATTAAAGGGTTTTTAAAGACGACAGTTGAAATTAGTGCCTCTATATATTCAGAATTGATTTGACGTCTCATCCATCATGATTATATTAGCTTTCCAGCAGAGGAAAAATGACCACATCATTTGAAAAAGAGTTAACATGGAATATGAGAAGATTAATGTAGAAACAAAGTTTCCACATCAAATAAATCAAGGTGGATAACGGTTATGCAGGCAGCAGTAACATAATGAGCTGGAGAAATATATATCTATTGCTAAATACATACAGCCAGGAGAAGCACATCATGGTTAATTACATCCTGAAGTGGCACTGACAAGTGTGACAGTGGAACCTCTGTATTTAACTGTACTCACGGTTGGCAGAGTTTGATGAGGTCCTGGTCAGTGGTCCCAGGCGGCAGGCCTCGGATATACAGGTTGGTCTTACTGAGCTGCTCCGCCCCTCCCTGGCTGCAGCTGTTGGTGCTAGGGCTGGGAGGAGCCATGGGATGAGGGGGTGGAGCATAGGGCTGCTGGGAAAAGAGAAGTGAAGAGAGGAAAGCTTTAACACAAAGAGCTAAACAAAGATTTAACTTGTATGACGTGGGATGATAAGTGAAAAAGTTGAACACGCTGAAAGGTGAGGTGTGAACAAAAATACAATATCTGAGACAACGGGAGAAAGTGTGAGAAGGAGTGGGAAAAATATATCTTTTGAAGAAACAGCAGGCACCACCAGTTCAGAGCATACATTTTAGGTGCGAGGCTGAGAGTAGATGAGAGTAGGGTCACTTAACTTGGACATACAATGTAGGATTTGAGCCCATTTTGGACCAAATTTGGTCCCTTGTTTGGCATTTGCCGAAGGGTAGCAAGGACTGATCATAGCCCAGTCAACTGCTCCCGACCAACCATCAGATGTTCAGATGAACTTCTGACATCAGAAATTTTGGTCGGTCATCATCAGACTCTCGTGTTTGAGAGCCTCGATTGTACAGTGTAGCCGATACCCAGCTAGTTTGCTGATGCTGCTAACTTTTGTGTGAGTGTGTGAGAGCGACAGAACTTGAATTAACTCCTTTTGCAGAAATTGACTTTTAAGCTCTTTTTGGTATGTCCATCTCTACAATTTTGTGAACCTGCCTCTGCTAGCAAACAAATTTCTGGCTGGAGCTTTCAAACAAATCTTTATAGTCAATAGCCAGACCGACGGGCTGTTTTATCGTCTATTTTACATGTACAGTGTGAGCACTCAGGTCGTGGCTTGATGATCAGACGGTAGACTGTGAGCACATAAATCGTGAGCTTTGGCTTTACATCACAGACGATTCACTCATACAGTGAGAGCTGGAATTAAAACCAACATTTCTAGAACATTTTTTTTCCTAAAAAAATATGTGTGGATATATCTATATCTATATACATAAGTAATTCATCCTAGTTATGACTTATGACCCACCATAAGTGTGTGGCTGTGTATTTTATATAGAGTCTCTGCTGTCTTCCATCCACAGTTGAGGTTCTGGACCTTATGAAAAGGTAGCGACCACGTGCCAGACTATAAGCAGCACGCATCCGAGAGGAAGCTACAAAAATTACAGATACAGTGCCGAAGAAACACAAGCATAGCAAGACCAAATGCCAAGCATAAAAAGCTGGGGATGGCTTTAACTTTTGCTGGCTAACTGTTTACAAACAGTAGCTGGCAATTCCTGAATGATATACCATTAATAAGTTAAAGAACATCAAGCCTCTCAGCCATCTCAGCCTTGAATTATTAGAATACATTTCAGGGAAAATATTTCTTATGAGGAGAAATAAAAAGGTCTGCACACCGACAAAAAAGTAAAGAAAAAAGCTCTTGAGATGAGATGCCTCATTCTGTATCTGCATATTCACTTTCACCTCACTTTTTGTACAGTATAAAATAATGAATTGCATCTGAATTCCTCTGTCAGTGTCTTTTTTCTAAACATGAGACTGGAGTCAAGAGTGCAAATATTTCTTCATTTTTCATTTTAAGTCAACATTTCACCAAGGAGACTCTCTGAAATTAGGGTTCATAAGGCTTCCAGCAGCTTACAACAGTTTTAAATGACGGCAACTTCCTGCTTACTATTCATACCCTCAAAACCAATTCCATTACACTGTAAAACAATTTACACCTCAGAGGGTGTGATATCTTGACGCAGTAATCCTCTCCAGCCTATTTCATAAACATCTCAATATGAACGTCTTTTTTTCAGTATAATCTCTATCTTCTAAAATGTATTCAAAGTGAATTAGATATGTGATTCCCTCCCTTTCTTTTTCTCCCCCACTCTCTCTACTCCTCTGCTCTCCTCATGTGCCTGTTGTGCTGTTAGTGTAGATTTATGGTGTAGGAGTCAGGGCCCCCTGCTCACAGCCCATTTATATCTCTATTGCAGGGACACTGCACATAGTGACAGGAAGAGAGAAGCAGGGCCCTGTGGGCATGAGCGGAAAGAGAGGGAGACTAGAAGAGAGGGAGTGAGGAGGGAAGAGACGATGCACACTGCAATAAAGTAAGTGAGTGATGGATCAAACAGAAAGAAGAAAAATGGTCAGGGAGAGATGGGGACATGACTAAATACCACCACCAGCTCCAGTTAACCATCTTAACCCCTCATCCTCCCCAGAGAGAACCTAAAGACCCCATACCATGCTGGAGAAACACACACAGTTAAACACACACACACACACACACACACACACACACACACACACACCATTAGCCCTCCAATCCGCCCCACACGTTAGCAGCGGCTGCCGAAGCATGGCTGATTTGATGCGCTATTTTAAGCGTGTGTGCCATGCCAGCATGTTGCCTCAACTCCTCAGACAAAGAGCCGGGGTCCCTGGAGCGTGAAGAGGGAGCCACGTCCATCACTGGACGGCCAATTACCACGCTGAGCTAAGTGGAACTGATGGGCAGCCACTCACTGTGCCGGACGCACACATACTGTACACACGAGCACACACATGCCACGTGATGACACAGAAACACCTTTTTCACATGCAAGTAATGTACAGCGCAGCATCACCAGAGCTGTTTTAAGTCCTTTGGGGCAACTTCAGCTGAACTTTCAAATAACTCCAGACAAATCTCAAGTGCCAGACTGCAGGGCATGTCCATGGCATGTCACAAGTCTTCATGAGAAAAGTCAAAGCAACAATGAAAGTATCTCAGGTTTCTGAATGTTAAACATGAAAACTCCTTAATGTGTGAATATTTTGCTTTCTAAGCTGTTCATAGTATTTTTTACAGAGCTGAGACTATTCAGGCACAGCACAACGGTTCTAGGCACAGGCGTAGTAATTAAAAATACATGCTGTGTGGCTATATAAGGCCTCTTGTTAGAGTATTCATTTTTATTGTTCTGGATTTAAGTTAAAGGAGTTAAAGGTGCAGTCAGCGATTCTAACCTAATACACTTTTGTCAAATTCAGCGAGTACCTCCTCATGATCTGCTAGCTGTCCTTTGCGGCTAAAAAGAAATCCAGTGTTCATGCACAGCTCTGTAAATGGGGAACAAACACAGGGGCTTGACCTCGGGCCGCATACTTAATTATCTTTTTTTTAAAGTTACCATTAAATGCGAAAATTATCATTTGCAATGTTGCCACTGAAATTGCGACTCATATTGCAATCCCAATATCTGTCAAAATAAAAACTCGGACCAAACTACACAACACTATTCCAGCCAATCAGCAGTGGGGGGGCTTTTGAGCTTTTGAAATGCCATGGATGTACAAAGAGAAAGGCAGTGGGAGCGAGAGGGATGGTAAATCTGGCACATGACAGGAGGGGTGTATTTGTTTGGGTGTTGAGTTCAAATATCCACAATCTTTCCGCAGAATCGCTGACTCGGCTTTTAAGTGCCGCCCTGTGGCTGCAGGGTTAAAGACCCAGACACACCAACATCAAAGAACTAGTGGTGATGAAGACTGGCTGTTGCGTCCCCTCACATCGCCTCTTTCCTGGCCAAAAAGTTGCACTTGAACACATCACAAAGACTATGGTCAACAGCCAACTAGCACGTACATTTTGTGTGTGAGAGGACAACATCATTGGTTCAAATCCGGTCAGCGTTTGCTGCGTCTCTCCCTCATTTCCTGTCCTAACCCCACTCTTTTTTTCTGATACAGAAAAGTTAAACACAAGAGTAAAATAGTTTTGTTGTCAAGTCTTGTCACACATAAGTTAAAACAAGCAGCAGTTAAGTTCAAGTCCAAAATTGCCATTTTTGTGACTTGAGTCTAGTCTCAATGTCAGGTCTATTACTGTGATTGAAAAACACAGACACATGCACATACTCCACTCCTCCCTCTCCTCCAGCAGATTGCGCCTCACACTGTTTTGGTGGCCTTGGTTGCTCAGGCTAGAATGTTTAAAAAAAAAAAAAAAAAAAAAAAGCTGAACTAGTCTCCAGTCACTCACGTTTTCATGTAGTGGCAGTCGTATAGAGGAATCTTAATCTCTTGAGTGCTCCATGGGAGTTATTTTCTCCCACTCAAAGTCACAGGAATGTGCACAGCTGCAGTTCAAGCCTCGACTTTGAGGCTTTCACCTTACGCCCCCCCCCCACTTTGTGTTATTTCCTCCCAAAGTCCACTGTAGCTTCAATTATACACACAGTACTTAACATAGTGTGTGACACGTACAAATTCAGCAGCACAAACAGGAGACGCTACAGAGTCGCTGTCAGCGCTGAAGGTTAATTGAAAGCCTCTCTCTCTCTCTTTCTCGCTGTCTTTCTTTGTTTTAGCCCTTCAGTAATACACACAGCCTACTCCTCTTCCTCCTACTCCTCCTCCTCCCTCCCTGGGCTCCAGGCTTGGCTTGCATCCTGGGCTTTGGAATTCATGTGTCCCGCCCTATCGATTTGCTTTCATTTTTTAAGGTCAGAAGCTGAAATCTTACACAATGAGGCATGGAGGGTCAAAACCAGCCCATTACTTACAGTGTTGGGCGAGAAGACAGAGAGTTAGGTTATCCAAGGGGAGGGAGAAAAGGACCGGAAGTGTCCCCCCCCCGGGATTAAGAAGGGAACCGGTGCCGACGATCTCAGAGGAATGGTGACTGTTGGGTGGATGGTGGGACGGGGTGAACGGGTTTAATGTTGGACTTATGGATTTAATGGTGTGTTTTTGTTTTTATCTCATTAACTGCAACATGTATAAAGAGAGTTTTGCTCTCGTACACTTGAGGAATGCAAAAGTCGTCCAACTTTTGGACAAGAGCTGCCAATAGAACAGGCTCTTCAAACGCTAGTGTGTCTGCATGTGTAATGTATGTATGCACATGCGTTGGGGTCAGTTTGTGAACTTGCACAAGCGTGGGAGTGAAATCAGCGAGCACACACTGGCTGAAACTTCAACCCACAAGCACACACATGCTTTCCCACCGAAAACTGTTTGCTTCTCTTTTGTTTTAAATCAAATTCTCTCTTGGCTTCCTCCGGTCGCCCCACTGGAGGTTAATAGCCGAGCTTGTTTCTCTTTCCGGACG